ATGAATAAAATTAAATAAAACTAATAAGTAAATGAGATGTTTTAACTACCTGAACAAATTGAGGTAAAACAAAGTATGGCAATATTAAAGTAACTAATAAGATAAACATTTAATCCTGGCAGATTTTTCTTGTAAAACGCCTGAAAGAAAGATCTTAAACTTGGCAAAATAATAAAGAATAAACAATTAAGTTAAGAAGCTATTTTGTTAACATGGGTCGAAATAATTCTTCGATGTCTTTTGACGCGAGGAAACTTATAATTTTCAGTAGAATTGTAGAAAACCTGAGAGAAAGTTAGATGCACTGTTTAAAGTAAGAAGGTCTACTGTTCATAACATAATTTTGAAATGCCATAACGCAAATTTCATTGATAAAAAATAACGAAAATGCATTCAAGCTATTTCACTGAGCGCGAAAGTGGATAGTTATAAATACTTATAAATATCTGTATTGAAAATTATGAAGAAAAGTGGATAGTTATAAATAATATTTGTAATCTTAAACCTAGTGCAATCAAATTGACTTTAACAAGCATTTAGCAAGTCTGCTGATGAACAAACTTTTAGGAACATTCTAAGAAAGTATAATGGCCAAAGAATTAGAAGAAAAACATTTCTCTGTAGAGCTAGGTCAACATTGCAATTCGCCAACATCTGTATTAAAAAGGCCTCAAGAATTTCAGAATTCGATTTTATTTGTAGAAGAATGTAAATTCAATACTTTTGGGGAGTGATGGTAAGCAAATGGTAGGACGAAAACCCAGTACTGAGTTCAAAACAGTGAAGAATCTTGCTCTATCGGTTAAACATGGTGGAAGCAAAAAACTTATGTGGGACTCTGTAAGTGCTTGAACGCTGGAAATCAGAGGTTTTATTGATGGCAAATGGATAAATTTATAATTTAAATAGTCTAAAACAAAATTTGAAACACAGCGCGAAAGAGCATATTTTAACATTACAAAATTTATCAGGGCAATGAATTCAAGCATAATGCTTTTATTTGTAAACTATGGACTTCGGTCAGGTGTCTACATACAACTAAAACGCCTACGTTCAGTCCGGAACTCTGTTCTATGAAACAAGCTTGGGTTAATTTTCAAAACAACGTTAATAAATTTAAAATTTCCGACTGAAATGAACTTGCAGAATATCTCACCAGAGATTGCAGAGAAAACTTAGAATCGGTTCTGTGTCAAAAATCTTGTGAAATATATGACAAGAAATCTCAGTGAAGTCATACAAAATAAAAAACCCAATATTTTTAAATTATTTATTTTTTTTAATTTATTTGCGTGCCCCAATACTTTTTTTACCATTACTTTCTCGTTGTACATAAGAAGTACATAATTTTACATTTATTTAAGCATATTTACAATTTAAAAACTTTTCTGTTTTGCTTATTCCTAAAGTATGACATATAAGAAAAGTATTTCGTTCAAGTTGAATGTTTAATTATTCTTTCAAAAGATGTTTAAACGCTTGTCGCGCCCCATTACTCCTTTTCACGCACTGTAAATTTATCTCTATTGTGCAGCACATCTCTAACCTGTTGCGTACGTTCAGCATATGTCTACGAGTGATCGCGGATTCTCGAAGGCTGAGCACTTTTCTGCTAGGTCTTTAAATTTCTGCTTTCAAAACATACTACTGAATTTCATGCTGTAAATTCTTTGTATAGTTATCGGCGATTTTATTTTACCCAAACGCAATGCATATTTGCTCTTTTTTCAAACAACTAGCGCCATCTGTTGAACACGGCTATAAACTCTTGAGAAAAAACAATTATTTAACGCAAATCGCAATACAATATATTGATTGATTTTTGCGTTATACATCAGCTTAATGATAATCATTCGTATTAATCTTCGCTTTTCGAAGTGTTAGATAATACATTCTTGTAAAAATACATTTTATTGAGGAAGAGAGAGCTGTTTTTATGCTCTTTGTTTATTTTCAAAATAATATTTTATGACTTTTTTAGTTTATACTTTATATACTTTATTGCCTTCAAGAATTCTTACAGTGATATGTTAAAAAATTTCGGATATTGCTTTTCCCTTATACTTACACAGCTTCCACTCTGTTTCTGTGTAGCATGAAAGAACACATTCCAATCTCTTCTCTTTTCTTTCAACCAAGCACTAAAACTTCTACGTTAAGCACTAGACTTCTACCGCGTTCGCCACCGTAATAGCAGCGCTTTGATAATGTCTGCCTACCCTCCCCCCCCCACGAAACCGTGGGGCTTGTATGGGTTGCTTATTAAGGTGAACTTCATTTTGTACTGTTAATCGTGATTTCAAAAGCGCTAATACCGTAACCCTTCCCCCCTCAAGTTAAGTAAGAAAGGTATTCCATATACCTCTATGTAACGTGATGCTAATAATAGTAATAACAATATTTGCAGTTTTGGACGAAGTTGCTCATAAGTAATTTACAAATTCAACTTACGTAAAGTAAGTAACTTCGTAGGAAACTGCAGTTACTGTTATTATTATTATTACTTCTATGTGTGTGTGTGTATGTATATATGTACATATGTATGCATTATTTACACAATATACTTTTATAAATGAACATCATTCATTTCCAAGCTTCGAATTCATTTTAAGAGTAAATAAGCAGATTAAAAATACTATTGAGGAACTGTTCTTGAAAGATATGAAACGAACACAGGTAGAATGCTTCTTTGTAAGAGATAAAACTTCATCAAAAAAATCAAATTATAAAAATATTTTTATAAAAAATTAAAAGATGAATTTCAAAATTAAGTAAATAGTATAATTTTAGCGTTAATTTTTACTTATGATTTATTATTATTATTGATTATTATTTACTATGATTCATTTGAATTAGTTATTGTATTTTACTTGAAAGGTTATATATATATATTATTTAACAGTTATATAGGATCATTTTCTCTTCTAAAAATTAACTATAATAAGTTTTTAGTTAATTTTTTAATTGCTATGATAGATAAAAATAATTTATTTTATATTTAGAAGCTAAAGTAAATTATTTATCTAAATTGCCAGAAATCAGTTATTCATCAAATGGATGAAAAACTTTCTAATGTAAAATTTTAAATTAAGCGAAAAACCATCCTTAGTTAAGCATAGATACTAGATAAATTTCTTTCGATTTCGAGAGGAATCCGACATAGGTCACTCTTCTTAAGAAAAGGAAATATTTTTGCCAGGCCATCACTTATCAATTTCGTGACTCCATGAATGTGCCATGTATTTATGTATAACAAAGATTCATATCATCTTTATAAAAATGATGCCTGGGTTAGAATGAATTTCATGCAAGACTTTTTCTCTTTGTTTGAAATTCGAAAGAAACGATTTATTATTGAAGTTAACCTTGTGAAATTAAGTGGCGGATTGCACAAAATGTTTTTGCTTCTAAAGAAGAGAGGCCTGTGTCTGATCGCCTTCAAAATCGTTAGAGTTTTGTTCAAAATCTACGTCAAACATAAGACGCCTTTTTTTCTATTTTAATAGTTAGTTATATATTTGAAAAGAAAGAAACCATTATGTTAAGAAATGAGTGTTCGAAAAACCAGAAAGGACAGGGTAATCAAAACCAAAACAATTTATTGTTATCGTATTCTTGACTTTGACAAATCAAAAATCTGTTTGGATAATTTCTCAAGCCTATAGACACAAACATTCAGGCTTTATTTGGTATTTGAGCCTAAGCCTATCCTCTTAATAATCAGCCTTCACTAACACTATACTGACAGATTATCACTACTTTCACTAATACTACACTGACAGATGTGAAGCAAGCACAGTTGCAAATTTGGGTAGTATTCTATCTTAGATTTGCATTATTTTTAGTTGAATAGCCAAAAGAATATGACGTACCAAAAGAATATAGCGTAGGATTCTGTTGTTGTGTTGTGACTTATCTCACTTGTCTGATAGTAACATCAGAACAAGGCCACGAAATTCATCGTTGGAAAGAGAGCAAGATTGCGCCTGTCGTTGGCAAGAGCTTTGAGCACCATACAGGTGACAGTACGACCACTCAGTTCCGCCCCAGTTTTAACAGAGAGCACCACAGAGGGACGGGTTCGAGGGTCTCGCACTGCTCATCTCCTACCACTAACCACTCTAAAGGACTTTCAGCTTGCCATGTATTTAGAGTGCCACCATGCCGCAAAGACACTGTGCATTTACAAACACCATGCCTTCTCCATGGTTCGAACCCAGGACCTTCGGTATCGCAGTAGGCTCCCCTAATCTCTATAGAGTCTGAAGACATGTAGGATTCTTCGGTAATAAATAAACATATTTTACTTTTTTGCAATGACACTATTACAAGGTTAATTTCGCTTACTTTTGAAATTAAAATTTCTAGGTGACAGTTAAGGTATTTCTCCTGCCTTCTTAGCATGCCTTCTAGTGTAGTGGTCAGCACGTTCGGCGCGTTTTCGAGAGCTCCGTGGTTCGAGTCCTGGTGAGTGCATTGCTCGTTTTTCCTCTCTCCTGTTTCCAAAATACTTAATATCTCTACTACAGTGGTGCCCGAACTAAAAAGTGGTGAATGACGATTCTTCACCACCAGGATTTGGCGATTGGGCCATCTAAATTCCCAGTCGCCCTTTAAAAAGGGGGAGTATATAAGGTATTTCTCTCGCCTTCTTAACATGCCTTCGTAGTGTAGTGGTCAGCACGCTCGGCGTGTATTCGAGAGGCCCGTGGTTAGAGTCCCGGGGAAGGCGTTGTTCATTTTTCATCTCTCCTGCTTCCAAAACATACCTAATGTCTCAACAGACGTTTTCACTATTTTAAATGCGTAAAACGGTGCAATTAGTTAAAATTAAATTTATGATTTAAAATATACTTTAAATATTATTATTAAATCTATGTGCACATTGTTACAAATTTAACTTGACTTTTAAAGAAAATTAAAGTTCCTAAAGTTTTTGCGTTGCCAAATTTATGAAATTTACTGTTTGATGACAGTCGAACATAATAAAACACCACACATTAAGACACAGATTTATTTTTTAAAATAATACAGTACATCTCTGGTTGAAAATTTTTAATTAGCCAAGAATAATATGGTCATACTACAAAGTGCAAAATAAAGCAGAAAATATTAAATAGTAATTAATCCGACATGCAATATATGAATGCGTTTTATTTTCGTCTTCACAAATGGAAATCAGATTGTGGTCAACTTTCATAATTTCATAAGTTAATTACACTCGAGCGTTAATTTACTTGCTTATGAAATATTTACTTCTGAAAATTCTAGCAGAAAAAACTTCATTTTTTGGAAGCAAATAATTTTATTTCTTTTTGATAAGTTTCAGCATATTTTTTAGTCTTTCCAATTATTAAATTATTATTTCTAAATTTTATATTACCACAATGTCTCTGCGCCATCAACAGGAAACACGTAATTAGGTAATCTCTCTTCTAAGTGCTTTCTTACCTTGTTTTGGATGAAACTTCTTATATAACCTTCAAAAAGTGTAGTAACACCACTAATTATGTAATTTAAACTCCAGTTTAAAGGGCCTAGTCCTGTCACCCATACTTTCATCCCTTTAATATCATCGATATAGAATTCTGTTAACTCTCCGTCCCGCCCAGTTTTAGAATCAACTGAAAATTCCATGTGGACTTCAAGGTATGCTAATGAACCAAAGACGTGTATTGTTGGTCCAAAATTCATAAACTTCACTGTGCCATCATAACGAAAATCTAAAACACCAGCACCTAAGTCAGCTTTCACGTGCAGGCGACCATCCTTTTCAGTTACGTAGCAATGATCAGGACGGTGTAGAGTCTTTAAACCCAGTATATAACCGTTATGCAATTTCGCCTCACCAGTTACGTTTACAAATGTTATCTTCTTACTAAATGCTATAACATTATCTTCTAGCAAATATGGATCGTACTCGTGGCCATGATCTTCAAGCATATCTTTCAGAAGTTTGTCAATGAATTCATCTCCACGTTCTACGTCTTCATCACCATACCAGGCTGAAAATATTACAGAAATTCAAATTTATAGATATATCATATTAAATATAATATAGAAATATACAGGGTGCGTCACAGATTATAGAAAAGAAAACATTGAATAACTTTTGAAAGTAAAAAAGATTTTTATTTAAAATTTATAGGATTTACACATGAGAATAAAGGAAATTAAAAGATGAGTTTCTCAAAATGTTTACCATCTGAGAAGACAAAGAAACTAAGTCTCTGCTCTAAATTCGAGACGTCCAGCTTGAGTTCGTCTGTTGGAACTGACCTTATCGCACTCGCTGTTTTCAGCTCATCTATGGTTTTTGGTTGATCTCTGTAGATTTGATCCATAACATAGCCCATAAAAATGTAAAGTCAGGCCTATGGGGGCAAACATTCTCATCGCCAAAGCAATTCGGAAAACCTTTTGGAGATGACATGATTGTCACAGAGATTTCCGAGCAAATCCAGAACGTCTCCTGTTTAATGTGGAGGAACTCTATTCTACTGAAACATGTGTCTTGAACCAATGTTCCACGCAGGCATCAAGAATGAACCTCGTTCTCAAGGAGTCGAAATAGCGTTCTAAATTCCCTATTTGAACAAATACGAACTCAAAATGCCATCAGCAAACAAACTACATCAGACTGTGACATTTTTGTGGATGAAGAGTCTTGACAACGATCAACTCTGACTTCTTGGTACCCCAAATATGGTAGTTTTGACAACTGACACTGTAGAGTCATTAGGTTAATTGGAGCTTTTCTGCTTCCAATTAACTGATGAAAAATATGCAAAATATTCTGATGAAAAATATGCAACCGCCTTCGCCGGGAATCGAACCACGGACCTCTGGAATACCGGCCCAGCGTGCAGAACCACTACACCACGAAGGCACGCTAGGAAAATAGGAGAAATACCTTATATACTCCCCTTTTTAAAGAGCGACTAGGGTTTTAGGGGACCTAGTCGCCAAATCCTGGGTGCGGAGAATCATCATCCACAACCCGTTTTAGTTCGAGAGCCACTATAAAGGCATTAGGTATTTTTTTAAAAGCAGGCAAGATGAAAAATAGCAAACGCCTTCGCCGGAAATCGAACCACGGACCTCTGGAATACCGGCCCAGCGTGCAGAACCACTACACCAGGAAGGACGCTAGGAAAGTGGAGAAATACTTTATAACATAATCATCCAATCAGAAGCTGAAGTTGATGGCTCTTTCTCCATTACTGATTTGACAGCGGTGATGATTTCGATCGTCTTTGCTGACTTTAAAGTCAAAAAGGTCAAAATTAGTCAGTTACTTCACAGTAACTTTAAAAATCAATAACGAGATCCTTAGCCCATATGTAGAAAAGGTTCCATGATGAAATTGCAGTGAAGCTTGGTGCACTACCCAAAATTTTTGTGTTTATGATTATGTTTAACAAAGATTATTGTTGAATTTATGTTTCTGTAACAAAATTATTTTAAGGTATTTTTTTTTCATTTATAATTCTGAAAGTTATGTACCTTAAATGAAACATTTGTACAAAGCTCGAAAATCATAGAATTAATTGAATTGAAGCACTTTCCGAATTACTTACTTTTCTCTAATGTTCAGTTTTAATATTACTTATTACGTCAGCTTTCATTTAAACTAATCAGTTTTTTCTAATATAATTAATAATTTATTTTTATTTAGTAGTAGTCATCTATTTGTCATTTACATTCATATTTTACTTATTATTTAATTGCACAAAATTTATTAGTTTATTTGTTCTAATTGTGTTTGTTTATTTTTCCTTAGGGTTCCAATACTTTTAAAAATTAAGCTTAATGTTTCCAAAATTCTTGTTTCAGTGTTTCAAATTTTTGTTTTGTTCTAACGACCTCAACAAATTATACCTTCCTTTCGGACACTCAGCATATACCTATCAAAATTTCACAGACTTGTTTTTATATTACACAAACTATTGTGCAGAGGTATCTACGGACTTTATTCCTCAAATATTTATCCTAGACATATAATTAAAATAGCTAGCTGTTGAAATAAGGTTTATTAATTTTTTTAAAGCAACCTTGAAACTGATGGCGAGAAAAGTTTCTTAAAAATATTATCTAATTTATCATATTGTTTTCACAGTAATTCTTGATAAGCGTCCGAATTAGTAAAATGATTAGTAAGCTTTAATTAGTACAAAACATAAAGCACATTTAAATTCATGGACATGAATTTTGCTTAAACTTTTCATCAGCTATAAGATTATTAAGAAATGCACTTTTGCTCAAAACAGAGTGACTAATTATCACTACGAATAGCTTTTTTTTTTTTTTTTTTTTTTTTTTTTTTTTTTTGTAGTTGCGGCCTAGATTTGCTCCTAAGAATACTAGAATTTAAGTCCCTAACAAACTGTAAAATGGCATATAATAGGCAATTTGCACTCGAATATTTGGCTGATTCTCGCGATTAAAAATACGTAACTTTTTGTTTCAAACTGATTAAGTTACAAAGACTATTTTACCTACAGTAATTTTTACTATGACAAGGTCATATAAAATTAGATTTTATTATTAAGGAGTTTTCCTAACCTACGTTGTCGAAACTGTTCTTGTGATATTTAATACCTTATTTTCGACACTTTTGCAAATGAAAGTACACGACTAGAAAACACTTTCCAAAGTCACAAACAGTAGACATGTTTTCGGCATCCTGATCCTTCATAAAATACATCCAACCCGTTCGTCTGTGTTCAAAGCCAAGTCAAATTACCAGGATACCAGGATTACAACGGTCTTAACTATTCGGCCACCAGTGAGGTAAATAAGACAGGAATAATAGTATAACTATTTTTAAGCAAAAAATATTTCCCCAAGATAACTAATAGAAGAAAAAATGGTTTCTTAAGTTAGTAAAAGTCACCTAGGTTTTCATTCATTACTTGCGTCGAATCTCTCTTACTTAGGTCGAACTCATTACTTAGGTCAAATTACTTAGGCGCATTCAAAGCCTTTGAATATGAATACATTATTCAAAGTCTTTGCAGGCTTTAAATTCTAATTGTGTAGTAACCAAATCGAAAATAAAAAATAATATATTTTGGCATAGGTTGAAGCCTATGGTTACATATAATTAATGTGTATATTAGCCATCAATCAATATTACTGTAACCCCTATCTTAAAACTTTAGCATTGCTTAATAGTATTAGAAACTTAGTCATAAAAGGAGTTACTTATGAACTGAACTTCATTATAGAAAAGGCATGTTTATATACAGTAGTATACGTAATAGAAATTTTATTAGTGAGGAACTTTGTTCATGATTGAAGACTTTCTGATCAGATACCCAAAAAGGCAAAAAGAAAGGACAAATAGAATCAAATTAAATTTGACAACAAAATTTAAACTTATGCAAATTTTGATTGTTTTAGGTATAAAAACTTGCACTTAAGTTTTTGAAATTCGATTTAACTTCACAATTTACGGTTATATTTCCTGAAATACATTAAAAGCATTTCGGTACTAGTAAAAGTTTTTCTCTTGCAATTAAATTATATAGAGTATTACATAAGGGCACTAGGAAAAGGATATTTTCTCGGTTTCTACCGTCATATAAAATCTAATTAAGGACATGTAACATTATATTGTAAGAAATAATTAATCCATTAAACACCAAGAGCAATACGTATGTTAACTATCAGCACAAAAAGAAGAAAAATCAATATGTTGCAGGAAATTCGTTTTGCTTTAGATTATTATAAATCTTTTCTTGGTATGTTTTTCCAAACTTTTCCATACATGCTTCCAAAGCGTATGAACTGAGTAATTTCGGATTTTTCAGATTTTAGCTCTACAAAATTACGCGAGAGTTTTCTCTGGTATTAGAGTTTAAATCGATGGACTTCGGTTATAACAGTTGCTACTCTTTTTTTCTCTCAGGTAATTTTCACAAAGCTTTTAATTGTTCTGTGGGTATTTAATTGCCTTATTAAATCTTTAACCAGCAAGATGAAGCCCCTTGATACATCGTGATAAATAAAAAGTAACGATTCGTTTTCTGATGTATTTTTATCAATTTTGTGAAGATCTCTTACTCCTTCAGCAATAAATCCCCTCCAGGCAGAAATGATGTCATCCGCTCATCCCCATGTCTCGCAATGGGTCAAGGCACTCTTGGTCATTTGATCGTTGTCTTATATATAACAGTAACTCTCTCTCTCTCTGCAGTAACTCTTTCCAATAACCCATTTCCGCACAATCACTTCGAATCAATCAGTCTATAGAAGACTTCTGCTTTGTGAAAAATGTTTGTTTATCTCCTGTCTTGACTCAATGGTATCTCTTTTATGTCTGAGACTGTTTAATTTAAGAAATTTATCATCTTTAAAGAGTTTTATTTCCTTTTTTTGAACTTTTCAATATTTTCTACAGTTTGTAACAACACATTACATTTGCATCAAATGCGTAGCCATATTTTTGAGTCACCTAAAATGCATATTTATATATACATGTAAGATAAAATTATAGGAATCAGAATTATAATATAACTATAAACATTAATTCTTCCTCTTTATTCTAAAATCGTAATAACTTCTCTGCATTGCGTCAATTCTAGATCATTCTATGGCCCGCGCAGCTCTGATGACGTAATAATTGTAAACCAAAACTTTTCTCTTCGCGTGCTTCCATCTTTATCACGAAACGTTTGCAATACTTTCTTTACACTATCTCGACCATTTAAAGTAGCTTTTCCTGTCATAGACCTCAAGCCTTGATCTTTTTTTGACAGCTCTTCCTTCAGCATGGCAAGATTTTGTTGCATTGCATTTTCTTGCCTCCATAACTCATTTCGTTCACTTTGAAGAGCATCCTTCTTTTCTTCATTTCATAAAAGCTTTTATTTTGGTTATCAATGCTTTCGCGGTGATTTTCTAATTCTTTGGTTCGCTCCTCTATTTTTGCTTCCAAATTCTTTTTCTTTTCAGTATCTTTTGTGAAATCGTCTTGCAAACGCTCTATCTGTTCTCTTTTATCTCGAATGGCTTTTTGTAGAGACTTCAACTCCTTTTGGATCCACTTATCTCTTTCAGCTTTTGATGTAAACTGTCTACCTCTCCCTTGTTTAGCGTATAACTCTGTACGCTTTTGTTCTTTTAAACTTAATTCTCTAGTGCATTCCTCTTCCCTCTTTTTGTGCTTCATATCGAGGACGAATATCTTCCAGCTGTGACAATTTCACAGCAATGGTTTCTTTTAATCTCTCTAATTCCCGTTCAGCTCTTTTCCGTGAACTATCATCGCCTTCAACTTCATCACACAGATCTTTAATAGTTAATTCTAAACGAGTTTTCGCTTTAAATGACGATGACTGCTCTTGAGATAGAGCTTCCTTTTCTTCTCTATATGACTGAAGTTTACTTTTTATATCTCTGAAATCTTTACTGAGTTTCTTTATTTGGTCTGCAGCTCGCTGTGCACTTTCTCTAAGCTTCTCTGTGACTGAACTACTAGTCTCTCTCCTAGTATCAAGTTCCTCTAACTTCTTACTAGCATCCTTTAACTCATGGTCATAGATGGTTATATTCTAGAGACCTTCGCATTTTATCCCCCTTCTGATACTCTTTCAATTCTTCTTTCTCTTCTTCTAAAGTTTTTAGCCTCTCCTCAATGTATTTGAGGAGATCTTCAATTTTTTCTATCCTACCGACTTAATTGGCATAATAAAAGCAAAGGAAAGACGGAACACTGTAGAGGCGTGATTAGACCCATATTGAAGAAGAATTTGATTGCGTAGTATGCTAGTAATGGTAACTTGGTAATATCTAAAGAACTTGGCAGTCGAGGCAGTTTTAATTCCATTTTTATTTGCAACTGATGTTTGTGGCCACAATCACTTTGGCACTCTAGTCGTGCCTTTCCACAGAAGATTTACATTTTTAATATTGTTGAGATAGAAAGTAAGCCAGCGAAATTACATCTTAGCACAGTAGAGAGCAAAAGCTGAAGTGCGTAGCTATGGAAGATGGAAGCACGCGAAGAGAAAAGTTTTGGTTTATAATTATTACGTCATCAGAGCTGCGCGGGCCATAGAATGATCTAGAAACGAAGCAATGCAGAGAAGTTATTACGATTTTAGAATAAAGAGAAAGAATTAATGTTTATAGTTATATTATAATTCTGATTCCTATAATTTTATCTTACATACATATATAAGGCGTTCATAAAAATACTTCTCCGATATATGAGTCCCTAGCAGCCTATCCGCTCAACCAATCGAAATTAAATTTCAGATATTGTTATTTAAAGGAATGCGCTCGAAGTTGTGATGATTTAAAACAATAGGGGTCTCACGGTCATGGTTGAAGGAGAAAAATTTCAAAGTCTTCGAATTGCAACACTCTCTTTTCTACTGCTCAAATCAATCAGCGCAATGAAAAATCATAAATGGTTTTGGAATTACACACGTATGTCGAAAATTGCCGGCGTAAAACATTTGCAAAGAAGAGCATTGTAAAGAACTAATAACAACTCATGAGAAGAGAGGGGAAAATTTTTTCATTGTAATTAAAAGTTTTCAACATGTTCTCCTTTGCAGACGGTTAAGCATTACATACGAGAGGAATGTGTAATACTTCACGTTTTTTGGTATCTCTCAAGTCTAACAAATCTCGTGGATTTGATGTGTACACTTTATATTTCAGATAATCCCAGAACCAGATATCCATCGCAATGAGAATGGGAGATCACGGTGGCCACGAAACCGTAAAATTACGGGAGATGACTCTATATTGAAATATTGTAGTGTTATCATTGGTCCTTTACAATGCTTTGGTTTGTAAATATGTTATGCTAGTTATTTTCCTCCAACTTGTATTGTTTGAACACCATTTGTGGTTTTCAATGCGCTGAACAATTTGCGCAGGAAAAAGTAGGTGCTGTTATTCTTAAATTTCGAAATTTTTTCACTGTAACCTTAACCGTGAAAGCTCTATTGTTTTGAAGCATCACAATCTCGAACGCATACCTTCAAATAACACTATCTGAAATTTCTTATTCGGTTGGTTGAGCGGATAGGCTGCTAAGGATTAAAGCATCGGAGAAGTTTTCTTATGACCACCCTGTATATATATAGCTCAGAAACTGAAGAATGTTTAATCAATGAACATTATTAATGTAACTCAAAATGCTGCTAAATAAATTAATTGAAAAATATATAGAATTAACACTAATCAATTATCTTAAATAACAATAAAGTTAAACAATAAACAACGGAAACACACAGTCATTAGTGTTAACTATCCAACAGGAAGGTACAAATTAAAGTAAACTGGAGCAAAAAACTTGAAAAGCAAAACTGAAATAAAAGTAAATTAATACAAAAATAAAAGACATTGTATTGGAATATTTATCTTATTAGCTTTTTAGTTGTTTTCGTTTTGCAAAATTTCATTTAAAAATTCATTTGTGGTCATTGCATTTTAACCTTTACCTTTTACTCTGGTTTCCAAAGATGCTTCTATTTTGCTGGTACTTGGCACCATATTTTGTTCCCCTCTTTTGGTTTTACTCATTGTTTCATTTCTTTCTTAAATCTCAACTGAAACTTTATTTTTAGAAATTTAAGTTTACCTTTGCTTTTAAATATTTTCACTTTGGCATTACAAATTACTAATTTTTAAAATTTAAAAGGAAATAATTTTCTTCCTCTTGTTTTCAAATTTTGGCATATTTGTCTTATTTGTATATTACGTACATATTTTCAATAGCAAGCTATATATTGATGATTGCCTTTTAAAATTTCGTAAATTTTAAATACTTTAAACTTTGAATTGATACATTCTCCTTTAATTCCTTTTAGTTTAAATTTAAAGAAATTTTTTGATTATTTTATTTTCCATTTCTTCCAGAATTAAGTTTCACGTACAGCAACGTGGCCCTTTTGATAATTCTTTCAGAAGCTTCTTAACAAAGACCAAGGAATTAATCAGCTATTACTTATTAATAGTTATTTTATATTTAATGATTATTATTTCTTTTTGAATTAATTTACTTTTATTTATTTCAGTTTTGTTTTCAAGTTTTTACTCACTCATTTTAATTTGTTCCTTTCTGTTAGATAGTTTGTCACCATTGGTTGATATTAATTCTATATATTTTATCTCTTTCTGATATTTGAAATAAAAAGCACAGTTAAAATTAGCTAAAGCTTTAAAGTACATTTGATGCAGCTAATCCCAAAGTTTACAAGTACCACCACGTAAAGCAATTACACTAAACGAAAGCAGTCAAATTTACGCGAAAATAACCTACTAAAAATACTACAAAATTAAAAAAAAAAAAAACTATACAACAAAATCAAATTTGGTCCGCTTAAAAAAACCTAAACATTTTAAATACAGAGAAATTATATACAAAAAGTAGAAATAAATGATCAGTTCAGTTAGTTCGAGATTTCAGACAGATCTTATCAAGGGAAAAGTGCCTGAAATCTCCAATTAAGCTAATGACATAGCCACGTTTCGTCGAACTAAACCATTGAGACTGAAAACGGTAATCCATTTATAAAATAATTAAATTAATTCATCTTATTATAGTGATGTCTCAATTGTTTTGTCCCTTTTCCTGACTTGCCTGTATATAAAATATAAAATTGAACAAAAAGATCAAACTTATAAACTAATACAAGAAAATAATTTTTGCAATCAAAAAATTATTAACATCATCTAAATGTTGAAAGAAAAGCCCTATACAACGTAGCCTGGGACGATATGTATACAAGTATAAATATAAAGTAAAAGTCAGTTCAAAATTCAAATCCTAATGCAAATAAACTAGTTTAAAACCTAATGCAATTCAAACAACGCTGAAAGCAGCAACAAGTGGAGGTAATTATGCAAAAAAAAATTAAATAAATAATAGGTTTAAAATTTATTCCTTATTTAGTTCGGAATAAACATATGCAAAAACCAAAAAATCAAAATACCAGAAGCACACTGGCAAACTGAAAGAAGGGGGGCACAATATGTCAAAACCAAAAATGAAACCAGAAATTTCCATCTTCCACTGCATCGTCATCGGGAGTTGGTGCAACAAAAGAAGTAAATAAATCTGCCTGTTTCTGAACCCAAAGAGGCTTAAATTAAAGTTTAATTAATTAATTAATTAATTTTTCATAGAATATTAAAGTTTTAAACTATAATTTGTGCCTTTGTTGTTTCAGAAACAGGCTGATTTATTTACTTCTTTCATCGCACCCGCCTTCTGATGACGGTGCAGTGGAAGATGTAAATTTTTTATTTCATTTTTGGTCCTTACATATTCTGCCCCTTTTTCTTGTAGTTTATAAGTGTGCTTCTGATATTTTGGCTTTTACATATGTTTATTCCGAATTGAATATGGAGTGAATTTTAAATGCATTATTTATTTTAATTTATTTTGTATTTATTTTGTATTTTATATAGAGAGAGAGTTTAGAAAATTTTGCATTTTTATATATATAAGAGTTTAGAAAATTCAAAATTAAGATTATTAATTATTAAATTTGCGCAGTACGTTGAGAAATAAATTAAATAATCAAGACATAATAACCAAACATTTACAGCTACTTGATTGTTGCTTTTTTATAATTTATTTAACGCTTTAATCGACGTGTTACGTGTTATTACTTACCTTGAACTTGAAGTGCAGAGGAAAAAAGGCAAGCAGAAATTATATAGATTATGTTCTGGTTAAAGCTTCTCATTTTTGTGTCAGAATCCCTGTTTCGATAAACACAGGTTAAAAAAATCGTAAATCAGTCAACATATACATAATTATGCATCGAATTACTTCTGCATAAAATTGTTTCATAAAAATATACTTTGAAAATCAAATAAATTTTATTTAATAAGAACAAGATAAAATTTAGCATGATTATGTAATAAAAGTGAATCAGATAGAAATCGGAATGTGACTTTATTCGTGAAGTATTCGTTAATTTAAAAGTATGGTGAATGCTCTTTATTAAATTAGGAAAGCGTGATTTCGAAAAAAGGAGGGAAACTTGTATATCGTGTACCTACTTCAGGTACGGTTATACAAACTGAGCGTCTCCCTCCATTCTTCCCCTACCATGAAACTCTTGAGAGGAATTTCGGTTTGCCGCATATTTTGAGTGTTCCCGTGATGCACAGACACTATACATTTACTTCGAACCCGGAACTTTCGGTACGGAAACTTTGATAATTTTCTGTTAGTTTAGATCTGGCAAGTATCGTGTGATTCGTACGCATGAGCAGTGCATTTTGTTAAGTTTGAAGTCTTAATAAAAATGTTTGTTTAAGTCTTCTTCTGAGTTTGTAGTTACTTTACCAAGACGGGACATTAAATGGCATGTCGGACTCATACTGAACCAAGTTTAATTAAGTAAGACTCATACTGAACCAAGTTTAATTAAGTGTATAATAAGTCATGTACACGGCCATCTAGCTGGCTTCGACAGCAAAGAAGATAACCAAAACTTTAACTGAATTTCATAAATTTCGGAGCTTCTCATTTTACGAGTTCTGCCTTTAGAAGTAGTCCTGTATATGCTATTCCTTTTAATTTGCATTTAACCAAAACTTAACTGAATTTCATAAATTTCGGAGCTTCTCATTTTACGAGTTCTGCCTTTAGAAGTAGTCCTGTATATGCTATTCCTTTTAATTTGCATTTAACCAAAACTTAACTGAATTTCATAAATTTCGGAGCTTCTCATTTTACGAGTTCTGCCTTTAGAAGTAGTCCTGTATATGCTATTCCTTTTAATTTGCATTTAACCAAAACTTTAACTGAATTTCATAAATTTCGGAGCTGCTCAGTTTACGAGTTCTGCCTTTAGAAGTAGTCCTGTATATGCTATTCCTTTTAATTTGCATTTAACCAAAACTTTAACTGAATTTCATAAATTTCGGAGCTGCTCAGTTTACGAGTTCTGCCTTTAGAAGTAGTCCTGTATATGCTATTCCTTTTAATTTGCATTTAACCAAAACTTAACTGAATTTCATAAATTTCGTAGCTGCTCAGTTTACGAGTTCTGCCTTTAGAAGTAGTCCTGTATATGCTATTCCTTTTAATTTGCATTTAACCAAAACTTTAACTGAATTTCATAAATTTCGGAGCTGCTCAGTTTACGAGTTCTGCCTTTAGAAGTAGTCATAAATTTGCCTAACTTATACTTCTATTACACGTCTAAACAGAACATCATATTTAATTTCTTTTAAGTAAAAGCGTCTTATTAAAGAATATAAAAGTACACTGCTTTCATAATTAACAACACGAACTTCCTGTTTAGTTCTACACTAAACTAGCAAATTAAACTAGCAAACTAGCTAACCTAGCTTCAGGAAGCTGTTAGAAACCATTGCATGAATGCATTACACCTTGATTACAGGACCTGTAAAATGCATCGTCATGCTTGATACGCCAAGGAACATATTAAAAGCTTGGTTTTCTAATGGTAATATAAACTATATCCAAAACTCTAAAAGACAATCTATGAATTATCAATCTGTCTTGTAAGTACCATAGAAAGAGGGAAGGATGCAAAGGACCATTTTACTAACTCAAATAAAGTTTAACAATCAACACCAACTCGTGCTTACAGAAGCCAACACTTATGGGTTAAATTAAAGATAATGAATGAACTAAAACTAATGAAAATCTGTAGAGCCTAACGGCTTCACAATTTAACTAACGCTCAAGCTGGTTTTGACCTACAAGAATAACTCAATACGGCAGAATACTAATCGCAAGAGAAACAAATTTAACAACGTGGCCTTCAAGCAGGCAGAACACACTCTGATTCTATCCTCTAAAATCTTCCTTCAAATAGTCTCTCCTTTCTACCTAATTTGAATACCACGCGAGCTATAAATTTACATTGCGGAAGGGAAAGAGAAATGGGATAGATAGGAAATGATAGTAACGTAATATAACTGGTTAGTAATTTACTGCAAGAATATAGAGATTATTAATATTTCGAAGATGAAACCTTTTGCAGCAGGCAAAAACAGAGAGTGAGTAAAAATTTAAGTATCTGTTCTGCTTTCATGAATGTGAATTGGATTTTATTTGATTAGTCATTTGGTCACTCTCTTCTCTCATCTTAAACATATGTAAATTGTTACACAAAGATCTTGGCTTAGGCGAAATTAATCCATGGAACCGTTAGCGTCAGCTTTCGTAAACAAAGAATGAAGCTGCATACATCCACAAGGAAGTATATAGATACATACGTAAAGTTTAATATTTCATCATAACTTTGAAAAACACTTTTCAAAACCCGCTAGTGTAATCTAATCTTCATTTATTCACAGGTGTTCCCGCAGTACACGAAATTGTAAGCAACTTTATTTGAATATACAGATACATTATGCATCATTAATTTAATCTGTGCAGCGAACTTATCTGGATTTGTACTGGATAAACTGTTTCCTCATTTAGTAATAGAAAATTGCTTCGTGTGAATCATTCAGATAATTTTGAAACACGTATCTGCAACTTATCTGTTTTCTTGACAATGGTAATAATTTTATAAATAAAAATAATGTCTACTTAAATGTTGAAGAAGATATGTACTGAATTTACCTGAAAGTTTCTGCATTTGTTAACACGCTGAGTGAAACCGCAGTGAAACGCTGACTGAAACGCAAGAAAACAGGAAAAATTATTAACTAATTATCATTAATAAATTATATTAAAATTGCAAATCGCAGCACCTTGTATATGCACTCCAAAACATTTTTGCCTGCACTTTGTAACAAACACTATGTAAAATTATTTTCTTCATGCTGTATCTTGAAAACATTAACATTTTTAAAGAGTAAGAATAGGAAATTTCTTCAGGTAATACCTAACTAACAATGCAGAATATTTACTTTTACATTTACTTCAGTTATTGTTTCTTTGACTTTTCTAGTCATGTAAATTGAAATTATTTCTAGTCTTATATCAACATTCAATAAGGTTATTTTTGCGTGGAACTTACTTATTTTTACTTAATTTTGCTTACATATTTACTTTTGCTTTATCTTCAGTCGCTCTATGACTTGTGCATTTATCCAAAAACCTCCCTTTTCTTACTTTGAAAACCATTAGCTATTTTAAAACAAAAAAAAATCGTTTATTAGTTTTTTGGCTTAGATTTTTTTATTAATAAGCTATAAAAAATGCAAACAGAAAATTATCAGTTTCTATTAAATAAGTATAGTTATTATTCTTAAACTGTCTTCAGTAATAGAAAACTGTCTTTAATATTCTGACTTTTAATGAGGTTTTTCTTTTTCTGGATATTATTACTGTCTAAAGTTTTGATATAAATACCGGATAAAAGGTATCTTACTTAGTTATGAGATTTAATTTTACATCAAAAGTAAGATACTCTGTTTTAGTAAAAACATGAATTCATAAAATTTTATTTTCAAATAGCTGATAAATGGATGATTTTTATAGATAATAATATTCAAAACGTAAGTAAATAAATAAATAAAGCTTCTTACCTGCCACGCTTAAAGAGAAAGCTCAGGTGTGGGCTGCAGAAATAATCATTGTTATCATGTATCTTCCCCTTTCAGCGCTTAAATTCTTGAAGCGTGAGAACAGTAGAAGACGGTAAGCAGATGTTTTAAGCTATTTATTATGCTGTGGCGTAAGAGTTTTCTTGCCAAAATGCGATATTAGCAAATTATATTTTATAAACATTTTACTGAAAGAATAAAACCAACGTTCTTGTTAAAGAATCCTTCACGTTCGGAGATTTGATTAAGTTGCAATGCATGAAACGTAGTTTTAATGAGTCAAAGTATTCATTATCTGTTCTTTTAAAAAAACTGCATTAACTCCACATCTGAGGTTCTATGATTTTTTTTTAATTCGTAAAACATCCATTTTAAATACCAGTTTCTGTGAAATCATTTCCCCCCCAAATATATGAATGATTACTAGTGTTTACGCATGTTACGTAACACTACATAACAACGGTATGTATGCAAATTTTTGTGATTAAGAAATGCTACACTAACATTTCCCTAACGGATATGAGAGTAGGTCTGTTTTGGAAGGATAGTCCAGAAATGTATGCCTTAGAGAAAATATACTCATGTTCAAAATTATCTTTACATACATGAGACGATGGATTGTTCAGAAACTGGGGACTATAATTTTATGAATTTTGTGGAATGATATATAACATCATGACACATAAATACGAAAGAAAAAAATTAAAAGCACTGCATATAATGTAAAACTGTATCTTGAAGTAGTAAAATTGATTATAATAGTTTACAAGGAGATTTTAGAAAAAAAAAGTTAAAAAGTAAGGCTTTTGAATATATGGAATGTGATCTCCTCTGACTTATACACACAGATCACAATATGCAATAACGTACACACATGTCACATCAATATGCAATAATGTAATTAACCACAGCTTGGAGAATGAAGTTCTACTCATCCAGCAATGCGGTCTTCAACGCGTTTACATCTCTAGGAGTCTCTGGGTAATTGCTTTTACAGGGAAGTCCCGTTAGTCCTCTATCTGGTTAAGATAAAGAGATTTTGCTGACCGTGGTATTCGCTCAGTATTCTCCCTTTCGAGGAATTTGTGGACGAGATTTGTTGTATGTGCACGATCATTATCATTCATAAATAAAAAGTTAGATCCAGAAGCACTTCTGAAAATCTTACACAGATTTCTAAGACCTGGTCTCAATATTTCTGTCTGGTCACAGATTAGCGTTGAAAAACGTTGAAGGAGGTAAATCCATCGAACATTATTCCTCCCCATGCCATCATATCTGCATTACTGAAGCGTAACACGTTCCACAATGATCGAAGGAAGGTTTCGCATTCTTGACTCCCTCCAGACATAAAAACGTTTAGAACCAGATGTTAAACTAAACCTAGGGTCATCAGTAAAGAGAACATGAGAGCACTGGTATTCACGCCAGATCTGAGGTTCTTTGTACCAGTCTCATCGGTCAGTTCATTGACAATAATGCTCGTTTCAGCACTCTTTTCGAAGCTCCATTCAATCAGTGTGCCCACTTTGGGCAAACCCATAGAATTAAACGATAATCTTCACAAAATTTTACTTGTGTACTCCTCTAGGCCTAATTAGACTGCCTACCTTTTTTTTTTTTTTTTTTTTTTTTTTTTTTTTTTTTTTTTTTTTCAAAACTCCAACTTTAAAAGGTAGCGTGCCGGAAAAGGTTAATTTATGAAAAATGTTAATAAATCATCTAAATCTAGATAAATGTATAATGTATATATTTATTTTTCGAGTTTTGAAAAGAAGTGGGAAATTATCTTCTAGAAAGGGTTGCATGGTGCATATAAGATTCAGAATCCCTGTTTTAATGTCTTATAACTTCTGTTATATTTATTAATTTGTTGAGCTGTATAAGAAAATTTTAATTCTTTTCGATTTACTTGGAATTTATAATTTCCTTTACTCTGATTTATTTCTTTTTTGCCCATTTTTATTTCTGAACAGAATCCACTTAGTAATTTCTTATATATTTTTATTCAATGTATTTGCAATTCTTATCATCAACATCCATGCTACAATATTTAAACTCTTTTTCATCCAGATCTGCCTTTCTATTAAGGAACTCCACATACTTACTTATAATTAAATATTATTTTGATTTTTTCCATTATTTTAATTCTCTGTTTATTCTGTCTTTTTTACATCTGTCTTTCTTACTTTTAAGATAATGGGATCTTTTGCTCCTTTAAATGCGACGCCCTCGCAACAAAGAATTTTATTTTTGAAATATACCTTTCGAAAAAATCTGAAAGGGTTCAGATTTCATCAGTGTTCAAAAGGGCTCTTTCAACTTTTTAAGGATTTGTTTGTTTTTATCGAAACAATTATTTTAATGAGCGTTTCTGTCATTCTCCTTTTCCGTTTTGCTACCGGAATGATAATTTTAGTTGGCGTGTATTCAAACGAGGTAGAATGAGATTACATTTAAAAGAAGGTTTAGATTGTTTAATCAGAGCGTGCTCCGCCTGCTGAAGGTCACGTTACTAGTTAAAATTCTTCGATAGCAGTTGTCTGCGTCGTTTCGTTATTCTGTTCATTAAGTCTTTTCTCGCAAATGTGGGTATAAGCCATCTTGTGCGTAATTCAGTCTGTGTAGTATTTGGCTATATTACGACTTAACTTTATTTTGAATTAATTACTTTTGAGTTACGCCATAAACGCTGGCTGGTGTTGTAAACGCAAGGAATGTCTTATGTTAAATTACTTGGTTTTAATAAAACGTCTTTTTGACGTTCCATCACCGCCAATCTTACATTTTTTGTCATCTTACATTCTCTATCATCGTATTGGACATAGCGAAAAGTGGCTTAGCTTCATCTTGAGTACCGTTATAATTTATACTTCCCAAGAAAGTGAGATCCTGCAAAGTTTAATATTGTTAATCAATAGTGATGGCCAAGGTGGAATAGCGAAACATCTTATAGGATACCAGATGAATGCACATTTAGAACGACAAAAGCTCGTTCTCTGTACATTTGAAAAGGGAAAAAATATACAACGCAATTCTCTAAAAATATTTGATGTTTGTATTAGATATATCATGAATTAAATGCGTTTCTATTTGAATCAATCAGATTAAAATGTTAAAGATAATATTCTTAAGAACTGCATCTATTGCAATTAAATAGCTTAGTTTGTTAATAAATAACAGTCAGATTAAATCATAAAGACGTAACAGACTCGAACGATAAGTGGAACTACGTATTTATAGTGAACCGCGTTTAAAGTGAATCAGCGTAAAATCGTGAAATCGTGTTTCTAGAATGTAGCTCTACTGTGCTAGAAAGGTTTTTTTTTTTTTTTTTTTTTTTTTTTTTTTTAAGAAGAAATTTGATGATGAGAAATATAGACAAAAGAATTTTAGAATTTCTTTCGAAATTCGGTATTTAAAAGAAGATAAATTAGTATAAATGTATAACGTATCAAACATTTCTAAATAAAAGGCGGATATCTCTTTTTCGAGGAAAACAATAAAACTCGATCATTTGCGGAAGACAGAGTGTAAGATTACTTACAGTTTAGTTTATGTGATTACGGCTACGCCTCGAGAGCTATCTGCCTAAGTAGAGGGATACCTATGTGAAGGGCTTCCTACAGGAAACTGTCTCGTATACACTTTACACATGAGGGAAAACGCGACAACGCCGATGCAGCCAGCCCGCTCGCGGGATTCGAACCTCGAACCAAACTGCATGTGTTCAGCTGCTTTATCGCTCGGCCGCTGGTTGCTCACAAGAAGTGTACTATTTGAGAATGGCACGTCTTAAAACTGAGTTGTGACTATGTTATTGACCAACTGAACTGAAGAACCGCTGCTACTTGCAGTCTTATTGTTAAATTTCATAGGAACATGTACCCGAGAATTTTGGTGAAGTTAAACATTATCTACTTCAAGTTACATTACTGCCACCAGATATTTCAATCCTGAATTTGTTAGCAACCTTACTGCGGAGAACTTTTTGTTAGCGTGCCCATGAGCGGCCAAGCAAGAAAGTCCCTGGAACACTGGGTAGTTTAGTCCGGGTTTCGAATCCCGGCAACTGTACTGCATATAATACAAATGAACTGCAACTGCAACTGCTCAGCACCATGTCATTTAATTAGCCCTATATTTGCTCTGCATCATGTGTTCCAATCGTATGACAGCCTAAGTTTGTGCACTATGAGTTGTCTCATTATAAGTATTTGGCCCACCAGCGGCCGAGCGGTAAAGTCGCTGAACACTGGTAGTTCGGTCCGAGGTTCGAATCCCGCGAACGGGCTGGCTGCATGGGCGTTTTCGTGGTTTTCCCCATGTGTAACGTGTATACGAGCCAGTTTCCCTTAGAAAGTCCTCCACGAAGGCATCCCTCCCCTTAGGCAGATAGCCCTCGGGTGCTTTGCCATAACTCATCACACACACATTATAAGTATTTTCGCACATATACTATCATATATATTATCTGAAACACCAACTGTTTACCCCAAATATTTATCTGCATTATATATTATCATTTGTATTATATCTACTTTACATCATGCGTTCCTAGTAGTACATATTAGTACAACGAATGCTCTGTACCATGTGTGCCTATAAAATATTTATCTGTTCTGCATCATGCGTATTCATTCGTATCATATCTGTCCCGCATCAAATGATTTTAGTAGTATTATACCTGCTCAGCAGCATGTGATTTTTTTTTCCATATCTGATCTGCATCATACATGTTCATTAGAACTTTACTTGCACTGCATAACGTACATTCATGTATCTTTATTAGTATCGTATCTGCCCTGTGCCACGTTTATTAATTAGCTCTATATTTGTTCTGCATCATGTGTATATATCAGCATCATACCTGCTCTGCATAAAGTGTTTCTATCATGTGTTCGCCTAGGTTCGTGCTCTATGAGTTGTCTCATTAAAATATTACTACACACATACTATCATATATTGTAACACCAACTATTTGCCCTAATATTTATTTGTATCATATACTCCCATTTGTATTATATCTACTTTGCATCATACGTTTCTATTAGTATAACATATGCCCTGTACCATGTGTGCCAATAAGCTATTTATCTGTTCTGCATCATGTGTTTTTCATTAGTATCATCTCTGTCCTGCATCATGTGCTTTTAAACAGCATTCATTATATCTGCCCAAAGTAATGTGTTTTTATCAGTATTATATTTGCCCTGCATCATGTCTTTTTAATTAGCTCAATATTTGCTCTGTATCATGTGTATATACTATTAACATGCTTGCTCTGCATCATGTACTCCTATCATGTGTTAGCCTAGGTTCGCGCACTATGAGTTTAAGCTTTCTCACCATAAGTATTATTACTCATATACTACCATCTGTTTCATATGTAACACCAAGAGTTCATTGCTAATAATTATTTACAACTTATGTTATTATCTGTCTTATAACTTCCCTGCATCATGTGTTTCAATTAGTATAACATATGCAATGTTACACACGTGCTTTATATCTGGTATGCACCACGTGTTTTCATTAGTATCACAGCTTTATCTCTGCTCTGCATCCTGTGATCTTATCAGTATTATTACACGCTTTTATGTATCACATAGTATCACATCTGCCCTGCATCATATGTTTTAACATCATCATATGAATGCATTATTTGTGCTCTAGTTAGTATTCTGTGAATTTCTTATGTGTATTTTAAGTGTTTTTATGTGTACTGTATGTCCTAATTGTTATACGTGTTATGTGTTTCAGGTTATTCAATGTTGTTATGTGTATTATGTCTTTTATTGTTATGTCCCCCCTTTTTTTTTTAAATTTTCTGTAACCACTGTAATCCTAAAACTTTCACTCGTAATGTAGACTATGTCAAACGCCTTGTATGTCCATGTAACTTTCTCATTAAGATCCAAATAAACTCCCGAGGCAGCCTCATGAGGCTCCAGGGAGTTGTTGCCAATAGATAGTGGAGGACGCGGGGTATATGCCTGTTTACCTATGTTAAACATCAGGCGCTCTCGTCCTCCGTCACCTGTCACCTGCTTAGGCGTTTAGTGGTTTTTCCCCAGATGCAAAGTGCATACGATCCAGTTTACCATAGAAAGTCTTCTACGAAGTCATCTCTTCGCTTAAGCGGATAGTCTTGAGTGCTTTTCCATAATCAAATAAACCAAACCAAACTGTCCTTTGCCGTTACGTAGTTTCGTAATTAGAAAGTGATTTCGTTGACAATGCCCAAATCGTGAAATGAGCCAAATTTGTATTGAAACAAATTTATCCATTTATGAATCAGTCAAAAAGTGAGAAAAAAATTTTGCAACTCACTGAATGAAGTAGAAATATATTAATTATAGAAATTGGCACGGGTTGAATCATATTTTACGAACGGTTATGCAGTCTGTATAAACAAATATATGAAAAATTAAAGAGAAATTTTTTTTTATTTACAGTGGCTAAGCAAAAAGTTACAAAGAACTAAAATTTTACAAACAAAGGAATTAAGAACAAAAAGACCGAAGTCATTGCCTAAAAGAGCTCTCTTGCCTCCCAATATCTCGACACCTCTGTAAGACTTCGAAGAGTCACACATCGAAGCAGGTGGACCCTGTCCATTTCTTCTCCAGAATCACAAAGGGAACAAATAGGATCACTCGAAATGCCTATGCGGTGCAGGTGGGCAGTAAGGCAATTATGTCCTTTAGACAGACGGAAAGCTGCAACTGCATTGAGTCTCGAACTATCGGGAATAAGAGATGGACTTATCATTCTCCAACTTTTTAAGGCTGTACGAGTCTGAAGATCTGGTAGGATACTAGACGTAAATAAACTTTTTAAAAACAGTTTAATCCTCCAATAAGAAATAGCTGTATTAGGATATTGTAGTAAGCTGGTAGCTGTTTTCGAACGTAAGTCCGCTTGTTCATTGCCCCAAAGGCCACAATGGCCAGGCACCCACTGGAGAACCATCTTGACTTTGCAAATTCTTGAAATTGCAAAATTTCAGGTACTAATGGGTGTTCAAAAGAGTTAATTGATTGAATAGCTGCGTGAAAATCAGAAAAAAATGACTGTCTTTGCAAACTTGGTGATGAATAAGTAATAATTGCTTTAGTGCTATACAGAGGGTTACTACTACTTCCCCAAAGTAGGCAGAACAGAGAAATATATGAATATATATCAATATGAATTTGAAACAGATCTAATTGAGTTGAAGCTTTTGTAAATTTCAGATCAACAACGATTGTGTATTTCTATCCGTGAAATCTATATTTCTTTAAGACCTACTCATTTTTTATTAGGTAGAGGGTTAATGAATTTTGCGAACAGCAAGAATGAATAGAGAAACATGCGCAAATGCCAGATGCATTTTAGGTAAATAAAAATTGGTGGTGATGGAAAAATCGAAACCCATTTTTCGAACCAACCAGTTCAAATATTGAATTTAAATAATATTTATGGATTAGTAGTTCGTAGGAAGGACGGAAGTCTATACTTAAACTTGCTGCACAAATTTCACCAAAAAAGGAGCTCTGTAGTTCTAATAAGACAGCTTGAACACATTCAGTTCAAAAAGAGTAAACGAATGTGAATGAGGAATCTTTCCTATGCACTTTGTGATTTTCGATTACCCAAACTTGATTTTAATAATAAAATAAAGAATCTGGGTTTTAGATGATCTGCCATGTAATTGCATCCAATAATTATTGTATAAAATTACAATTATGCCTGCCATGAAATTGTAATTTAATCTCATTTCTGTTGGAAAGTAAGACTTTATTTGAGACTTTATTAAATGCTTTTACTAATATAAATTAATGTCTAACTTAACTTTAAGTAAAAGTCACCACTATTTTTATAGCATAAAAATGCTCTGCACGACAGTTTCTAAAATGTTACAAGGCATTTTTACTTAGCAGTTTTTAATTTATTTCCAAAAGGAAGGTTCTATTGAAAGATAATGATTTAAAATTATTTGCAACAACCTTCAGCCCCATCTATTGGTAAGGTAACCCTATTGCCCAGGCATCTAACATACATTCTTGTCAGGAAAGCTCCATGACACTTTTTTTTTTATTTCTGAGTTTGCAGTACTAAAAAAGGAACAAATCTTGTTTTTATGTTAGCTGGTATGTATTCTTACTTGACACAACCTTGGACATGCTTTCACGCAAACTTACTATATGGCAAGGCTGTGTTTAGCAAAACACTGTTCGAATTGTTGTCACATTCGTTAAGGTAGCACAATGGATGCTGATTGTGAGAAAAGTTCTCCTTTAAGTTCTCCTTTAAGCTCCGGAAAACTTCTAGTGAAACTTGGAACATGATTAAGTAAGCATATGCAGGCGAAGCACTTTAAAGAAGTCGTGTTTTCGAGAGTCACAGGTTTTGTGGCACAAAAGGCTTCGTGGAGGCAGAGATTCAGTGCACTACGATCCTAGAGCTGGTTGCAAGTCTATAGCACATGCCGATGCAAACGTGGAGCGAGTAGAGGAGTTATTACAAGAAGACCGCCATGTAACTGTGCGTATGATATTAGAAGAACTGAATTTGAATCGTGATGTGTGGCTAAAGATTTTGCACGAAAATTTATGGAAACTGAAACTTAATGCAAGAATTATCCCTCACTCACTAACAGATGAACAGGAAGTGGAAAGATTAAGAAGTTCTGCTAAACTATTGGAGAAAGCCGACGTAATCCCTCATTTGTGACAAAGATTATTGCGATTTTTTCCTTTTTCCGTGAGTGAAAAGATGACCGAAAGGAAAGCTTCATCAAGATTATTGCAGACATCCAACAGGCTGTGACAAATAAGCTTGCAAGCCTTGCAGTTAAGATTTCTGTGTTTGCTTTCAAGACCTCCAGAAACATTGGCAGTTGTGTGTAGATAGCCAAAGGACTACTTTGATAGCAGCTAGGATCATTATTTGGCAAATGCAATTTTCTGTTTTTTACGACCTTTATCCTGAAGCTTTTCTGACAAAGAATGTATCTTGTCACGTACATCAAGAGTTACTTAAATGTCCAAAACTTTATTTATTTAGAAACTGTGAGGAGTCATAGTTGTATCTTAAACGTGAAATGAAATTATAGCGCAAAATAGTTTTCTATATTCTGGCTGAGATTTAGAAACGAACGACTAGAAGCGTAATTACATAAGCATATAATGAAATTTGTGCGTTCTTCGGTGCTTGCGTAGACTCATTTTAAGATATGGACGCCACACTATACAGCCCGTTAGTGGCCAAATAATTAAGCCCTTGAATACTGAACGTTCCATCGCTGGGTTCGATCCCAGATGAACGGTTTTAGTTTTGTTTGTTTTATGTGATTGAGGTAAAGCCTCGAAGGCTATCTTCCTAAGGGGACGGATGCACTCCTGGAGGATCTTCTAATGGAAACTGGTTCGTATGCATGTTACACATAGGGAAAACCACGAAAACGCCTATACAGCCAGCCCATTCGTAAGGTTCGAACTTGGAACTGAAATACCAGTGTTCAGCGACTTTACCGCTCGGCCGTTGGTGGGCCGTAGATGAACGGGCTAGCTGCATTGTTGTTTTTCCCCATGGTGTAAAGTTAAAACCAACCAGTTTGCAATAGAAAATCCTCCCTTCTCTCAGGCAGATAACCCAAGTGTTCTTTGAGTATTCAGATAATCTAATCTTTTGCGTTTCATGCTATGGCAACCTTGTCGGTAACGCACGAAACTGTGGTTATTGATATGGTTTTATACAGTAATACTAAACGGGCGGAAAAGCAGACGAAGCTATATAACAAGAATTGGTTGTATGGATTAGTCTGCTTATTTGTCTTGTCTAAGTTATAATGAGTATATCTGAGAAGCTCTGGGAAGGAGCCTTTCGTTGCGTTTGTATCCATGTACAACTGTTCAACAGTTGACGGAGAAACAGACAACGGTACGGTAAGAACTCATTCGAAATCTTCAATGTCATTTAAAGTTGGGAACTTCTCTCCATGAAGGCATCTCTCGTCTCAGGCAGATAATCCTCGCAGCATTCCCACATTCAGATAACCTAACGATTCGAATTAGGTTAAGTCAACATTTCTCAAACGTTTTGCTTTTTTGCCTTATTCTTGTTCCCGCCGAAGGCAATTTTTTATCATATGTGCATTTTTAGCATAGGAATCAAAATGCTAATATTTTAAAATAAAACTGTTTTTATTTTACATTGATGCTAGGTAATTAAGTTAATAAAAGATATACATTTGTAATAATTCAAGGTTATTAGAGTTTGGAATAGCTTTACCTTATTAACTTAAAGAAAAATAAATATTGGGTTCTCACATTGAGATAAAAGACGCTGCCAATTTTCACACATTTGTTCTGTATTTGGATGTACGTTGGTAAAGAAGTACCCCAGACAGATCTTTAAGTCCCTCTTTTGTTGTTAAGACTAGAAGGGAAAGTTCATAGCGAGAGCCCCACCAGAGGCAAAGTAAGTGGTTAAGACAGCTGAATGCTCGTACTTTGAATCGGTTTTTGACCCAGGCAAAAAGCGCTAGCTGCATGTTTCGATTTTATGATTTTCCCCATGTACAACACGAATACCATCCATTTCGCTTAGAAAGCTTTCCAAGAAGACATCCCTCTTCTTAGGAAGATAGCCCTCCTGCGCTTTGCCATATTCAAGTAGCCTAACCGTAGTTAGCATAACAAGAAAAAAATTACATAAAATGCCAGTCTCGGGTGGAAAAGTGATAGCTGTTTGTCATGCGCAATTTCCAGGATCTGAGGTTTTCAGCTATAGTATGGTACATGAATTTGAATTTTACTTTATCTTTCTTGGAAATCTAGGAGGACATCAAATGCAAACTTCGAGAAGATTGGGAAATGCAGGATTAGGATATTTGAATATCCGAAAGCCCGAAATGGCTGTCTACCTAAGTGGGAGGAAGCTTTTATAGAGGACTTTTTAAGTTTTGGTTATTTGATTATGTCAAAATTCTCTGGGGCTATCTGCCTTAGCGAAAGGATGCTTTCGTGGAGAACTTTCTAAAGATAATGGCTCTAAAGATTTAGATTTCTAAAGATAATAATTAACTTAACACATAGTGAAACCTTCGTAAAACAATAATTCGGCTAGCCTTTCTCGTAGGTTTGAACCCGAATTGAACTTCCCGTATTCGTTGGCCTCATTGTGTCGCATTCAAAGTATGCAAAGCATTCAGAGGTTTATATTACTTATTAGCAGTTATTTTTTAGCTTTTTCTGTCAATTCTTGTTTCTTTCGCGTTTCCTCACCAGCATGTAAACGAGTCAGGGTGAACGAGAGAGTACTTAAAATTGAAGTACTTGAAAAGTTGGTCAGAGAGTGCTTGGCTACTGAGTGTACACATTCTACCAGCTGTTTGAATTCTGGATCTAGTCTTCGCATTCTGCCGCCGAAATTTAATATCCCGCTGGTCTAGGTGTCCGAGTCAACCTGTTAGATTAAATTAATTCTTATAGTCTTGAACTAAAAGACTATCTTTAATTTACCATTATCTTTAGTTCTATCGTCACAACTGGATGATTGATTTGTTAACACAAAGATTGTGCCGTCCGTAAATAATCAAGTTCACAAAGGGTTTTTATACTCCCTTTTCCGTGTTGCATTCATCTTCTAGTCCTAGGGAAAAATCGCTAACAGACTTCCATGTCCGTCTAATAGCAGTTTATGCTAGCCAAGAAAATACATTTACAGCATGTATCGCCGTTTGAGCGGTCATAACATCTTGCTAAAGAGCCCCTATATTTGCTATCGTTATTACCATAACCACTGTAGTATATTGCTTCCAAATTGAGTATTTTTATACATTTTGTAATCTCTTATAGTTAGCGTATTGTTGCTTATTAATCCGATAATTACTTGTACATTTACTCGCATGCAGATCGCAACATTTTAAAATGTTATGTAAATAGCCTGACAATTCCTTAAAATTTGCTCACGAGTGCATGATTTAAATCAAACTTAAACTTTGCATTCCTTTGATTCAATGTCTTTTGCATTGAAAAGACACGAAATGCATTAAAATGGGTTTTGAATATCATACTAATATTAATTTGTAGTTTTTGAAGATGTTTTATTATTTGCTTCAATTTTACATCTTCAATCTTAATTTTCGATATCCATCCATTACCGAGCAAACAGATTTTTAGATCACATTTTGAAAGCAGCTACAAAAGCAAAAGTTGCTAATCTGGGCGCTTAATGGATCCACAACAGGATAAGATCTATAGAACTCTTAAAAAAAGAGATTTATGTCTATAGAACCCTCCTAAACCGCTTACATAATTTTCTCATTTTCCTAAACTTTATAACCGGAAGTATTTGTCCAGGTTTAAGAAACAAAGTTTGTAGCCTCTTTTCAAACATCCGTGAAAATACACAAGTGCTGTAGTTATTCTGCATTTATGATTCATACAGAACACTATTAAATAAAATATAGGGTCACCGTAGCCATTTTCATATTTTACAAACCCCGAATAATGAATGGTTTTCATGTGCACTGAAATTCTGAATTAAACATCGTTAACTACTTTGCAATTCGTCAGATTACTGAATTCTTATCCAACAGAATTTTGACATGTTTACATACATAAAGGAATACTGAACAATGACCAAAATGACACCGAAAGGAAAATTACGGTTGTTACTAATTTGACTCAATTGCAAACGAACACTACTAAAAACATCCATGGTTCAAGATTTAAAGATCCATGAAAGTATATTTAAATATCGATTTGTACTAGGTATTATCTATTCTAATTAAATTCTTGTAAATGTGTAGCATATCTTTACTTATCTAATTTTATAAGAAACGTTCGTAGCATTTGTCAGTTTATTACTATCTGGTGGCTTTCAGTAACTGGAGTTCATATTTCGTGCTAAAAGCCCTAAGTTGACATTTTACTGACTAAAATTTATTTCTCTTGCACTAACGTATTCTTAAACACCGCAAATTTCATAAAGAAATATACTTGGCATCATTAATAGAAGAAGGCTGAAATTTATTCGGTAGAATAAAATCTTTTTGTGACGAAGTTCGAAGTCCACCAGCGGCCAAGGGGTTAAAGCTGCAGAAGATCGGTATTCGGCTTGGGTTCCTCTCTAGGTAAACAGGCTGGCTGCATGTGCGTTTTCGTGGCTTTTCCACCTGTGTATCGTGTATATGAGTCAGTTTCCCAGAAAAAGTCTTCCACGAAGGCGCCTCTATCCTTAGGTAATCATTTCGAACTTTGCTATAATTTAATAAACCAAACAAAATTCGAAGCATTTCATTCTGGTATAACCACCAAAACGAATTAAACACTTTGGGCTGCCAGGCAATACAATGGTTAGGGGAGCCGACTGTGATACCGAAGGCCCTGGGTTCGAATTCCGGAGAAGCCATGGATGTAAATTATCTGCCCCTCATATAGGAGGCAACGGTGGCCGCCTATTAGGTGCCTCCATAATAAAATTGCCACTACTTCTAGCCTTAACGGTGGCAAAAGCCTAAAAATGGCCAGCGGCCGCCATAAAAAAATTGCATTTTTGAGGCGTATTTAAAGAAAAGGTTTATATAATTAGTTTAGCATGCTTGATTTCAGATGAACGGTATGTAAGCCCTTGTTTGAATTAATCTTTTTTCCTGTGTCATTTGATTGCAATATTTACTAGCATCCGATTTTAATATGGAAATTTACTCACATCTTTTATGAAAGTCTAAGCCATAGTTATTTCATTAGATTTCCATCCATGATTTAGTTAAATTTCATTCCTTCACATTTAACAATTTTAGTACTTAGTGTATTACAAATAGAACTATTCAAAGAAATGTATTTATTACAGTAAATACTTTTCATGAGCTATTCGGGTAAAATATATTTTCCCAAACTGAATAAATGAAGTAAAGAATTAATTTTTCTGTTGAATTTCTTACTTTTGTTCTTCCGTTCCGTTGCGTTATTTAACATTTAGTTTTTTTTTTATTTATCAATTACTCTTAGTCAACATTTAATTTCAGTTATTAATCAGTTGTATATATTACTTTGCCGATCAAATAAACCCTAAAATGATAAAAGCAATTTCGATAGTGTTCCACATAATTATAGGTCAACTTTCAGCCCCAATTAAATATAAAGGAGATTAAAGGACATATGCAAAAAACGTTTAATAAGAAAAAATTCATCTCAGTGAAATTATACAGTTATAATAAAAATTTACAATTCCTATGTTAGAACATTTACATTAAAATTGGCGAAATTTAAGTGCATAGATTCTTTTTTTAACATAAAAGATGCATTATTTGAATGGTGCATATATTAATTTAATGTTATGTAATTTTAAAATAAGTAATTAAATTTTAATCATATTTACACATTTTGTAGAATTACAACTTCGTATAAAGCACTCAATTGCATTAAACATTTGAAATCTGAAAAAGAATAAAAGTAGTAAATTTTAAAAATTAAGAGTTTGAACTTTTCCATTTGCTTCTGGTTCAAAATTTCATATAGAAGTCCGCAAGTTCGTAAATCGGAGCTTTCGCATTATTTCTACAGAACTTCTTAAGGTAAATTTAACTTCAGGTATTTCTTTTGCCGACTCTAGTCTTCGAAATTAAACAGCCGTCACCATTTCGAATTCAGCCTCTTCTGACTCTCCCGATTCATTTACTTCAACAGGCTCTTCAGGCTCCTCGGTTTCTACCGGGCCTTCCGTTTGAGGGGGCTCTTCGGTCTCCACCGGGCCTTCCGTTTGAGGGGGCTCCTCGGTCTCCACCGGGCCTTCCGTTTGAGGGGGCTCCTCGGTCTCCACCGGGCCTTCCGTTTGAGGGGGCTCCTCGGTCTCCACCGGGCCTTCCGTTTGAGGGGGCTCCTCGGTCTCCACCGGGCCTTCCGTTTGAGGGGGCTCCTCGGTCTCCACCGGGCCTTCCGTTTCAGGGGGCTCCTCGGTCTCCACCGGGCCTTCCGTTTCAGGGGGCTCCTCGGTCTCCACCGGGCCTTCCGTTTCAGGGGGCTCCTCGGTCTCCACCGGGCCTTCCGTTTCAGGGGGCTCCTCGGTCTCCACAGGGCCTTCCGTTTCAGGGGGCTCCTCGGTCTCCACAGGACCTTCTGTTGTAATAGGCTCTTCGGTCTCTACCGGACCTTCTGTTGTAATAGGCTCTTCGGTCTCTACCGGACCTTCTGTTGTGGTAGGCTCTTCGGTCTCTACCGGGCCTTCTGTTGTGGTAGGCTCTTCTGTTTGCTTTGTTGCTTCTGTTTCGGAGGTGACAGTAATACTCTCTGTAGTAGTTTCATCAATGTCTCCACCTTCGACAGGAAACTTGAAATTCGGCAACCTGTCTGCGATATGATGCATAACTTTATTTTCAAGCAAATATTTCACAAATCGTTTAAAAACTTTATTTACACCCTTAATAATAGGATTCACAGCCCAGTTGAGTGGCCCAAGACCTGTAATCCAAACTTTCAAACCCTTTATATCATCTATAGCAAATCTGTGCAGAGTTCCATTTTTCCCAGTTTTAGCATCAACACTAAATTCCATATGAATTTCAATGTAAGATAATTCTCCATGTACAGTAACCGTTGGCCCGAAATTCATAAATTTAACTGTGCCTTCATACTGGAATTTCAAAATTCCAGCTCCTAAATCAGCTTTTACATGCAGTCGGCCATTTTTTTCCTTTAAAGAGCAATGATCAGGACGGTGAAGTGTTTTTAAGCCTGTAATATACCCATTATGTAACTTCGCTTCGCCACTGATATTAACGAAAGCTACCTTTCTGCTGAAGCCAACAACACTGTCTTCCATTACATATGGATCGTATTCATGACCACGATCTTCCATCATGTCTTTTAGAAGTTTGTCTACATATGCATCACCACGTTCTATGGCATTATCATCGTAGTAGTTCCCTGGAAAAAAAAGAAACATTAAATGTCTCAATCACTAATTCTAACTTCGTATGTTAACTTTCCTATTAAATCAGTTTATTCTTAGTTCATTACCAAAAATGACAAACGGATAATGTTGCTTCACTTTTACTCTTACGCACATTCTGTACCAGTTGCATTTATTCAGGTAAATCGTGATTGAATAATCCCAAAATTGCTGCATGCTTGAAAAGAGAAAAATAAGTTATAAAATTCTCAATTATTTATATCAAAGTATTAGAGGAATAGTATAAGTCAAAATGATTTTTATATTGAATAAAGACAGGTATCTAAAAATTATGATCTGAGTAATGTCCCTACACCTTTAGAAATATAAGCAATTTTTAATCACCTGAATGAAAATCTGAATTTCTCAGCAATCTAATTCGAATCTTTTACATTACATAGCATGAGCCAAACAATTTTCTCTAGCATGATACACGCGTCTGATACTTCCAGCTAGACATCATTTTAATCAGCTCATTTTGAATGAGGTAAAAACTAAATATAAGAAATATACGTCTTGTATTAGCTCAAGAAATATATGGCTAAAATTTGTTGACAATAATTATTTTAAAAAATATAGTTTAACAGTCAAGAGCACATTTCATGTTATAGTTGTCAAAAGACAATATTTGTGTCATTTATCCTTCTGTAGAAAGTTGTTTGGCGCATTTGTTCTGTAAGGAATCAACTGTTCATCTTTGGGAATTTGTTCAGTTTGCCTACGGCCCACCAGCAGGCGAGCGGTAAAGTCGCTGAACACTGGTAGTTCCGACTTGTATTTAATTCCAGGCGAAAGGCTTGGCTGCATGGGCGTTTTCACTATGTGTAACATGTATACGATCCAGCTTTCCTTAGAGAGTCCTCCACGAAGACATACCTCATCTTAGGCAGATAGACCTTGCGTGCTTTGCCATAATGAAATAAACTAAACTCAGTTTGGCTAGCGAGCGCATTAAGATGTCAAATGCATTAATATGCTTAGCTAGTTGACCTAGTTGTAAAGAGACCTAGTTGATATCTGATGTTCATTCAATATTAGCTAGCAAAAGCATAAATGTTCAAATTTTAAGGAAAAACAGTTTTAATGTAGTTTTTGTTTTGCAGGATTTAAGGTAATTTATACTATAATGTAGTTTCTTTCGTACACTTGTTCAGATAATTACAAATTAAATTTAACTGTTGAAACGGATGTATTAACGATATTCAAAATAATAAACTGCTTATACGAAAATTAGGTGGCTATAACCATTATATGCTGGTATTATTACTGGTATATATATTATTATGGTGGCTATAACCATATTATGCAATAACAGATTTTTTTCACAATAGTTGTGCAATGTGAACAGGATTATTTTTCACTTAGAAAATATTTCTTGGAGTCATAGCTTTTTGAACTCCTCTGCAGCTTAAGATACTATATCAAAATATTATACAACTGTAAGCCTTACTCTGAACAACTCCTGTAAGGAAGAAAATTTTCCAAATGAATAACTTTAACGAGAATGATAGAACTTGTGTGTAGTCTACCACTGAACAATACTAATATAGGCATAATAAAGACTCCGTCCGTAATTATTTATTCAATATACTTGCTTTAAAATATTTAATTGCATCGTGTAACTTAAAAAGGATTGCATGAGCATAACTTAATGCTTTTTGATGGCCACTTTCCTTTCGTCACTGTATATTTTCACAGCAGGAATTTTTAAATTAATGCATGATAAAAGCAGTTCTAGTTCCAATTTGCACAATGGAAATGGAACAATCCATAAACAGTATACTATTCGTTTATTAGTACGAGGAAACACACAAGAGCTGCATGCCCAAAATCAATACCTCCATTAAAGGGTTCCATTAAAGGGTTCCATTAAAGGGTTCCATTAAAGGGTTCCATTAAAGGGTTCCATTAAAGGGTTCCATTAAAAGGGTTCCATTAAAGGGTTCCATTAAAAGGGTTCCATTAAAAGGGTTCCATTAAAAGGGTTCATTAAAGAAGCTAGCTTATGTTCATGTTATACATAAAGGAAAAGTGAGAAAATTCGCATGCAGAAAAGCTTTAACTGTAATTTGAATCAGGTTGAACTACCAGTGTTAAGCGAATTTGTTCCTTCCTAGTTAGAAATGCCCATTCGCCGAAATTCAAACCTTAGTCGAATTAGGATAACTTCCTGACTGTTGCTTCACCACCATAAGGACTGTTCATCATATCAACACAAGTTTTCAATTAAAAAATGCTACGTACAATTTTCTTCAGAAATGCTCTTCAATTGCTTTTCTTTCCATTCCTCTGCAATGTGGTATACAACTGCGTTATGCTTTCTATGTTTGGGACTTTTACCCTTCAAATGTTATACTGAGATAGGGCTTCGGACCAGGAATCCGCACCTGACAGTAACAGCATTACTATTAACTTCAGGGAATTCTACACTCTGCACTAATAAGTCTTTACTACTTACCGTTCGTCTGTACTGTTTAATGTAACTAACGTTTTACTGAGAAAAATCTTAATTGGAGTCGCTCAAAAAAAATCAGTTGAAAGTATAATATTTGAGGTCTTATTTTCCTGTACTATGTAAAAATGAACGTTTTCCTGTAGGAACAGTATGTACTACTGTCGTTGCAAAGGCGTATTTTGAAGGTAATTTGAATACTTAAAGATTTGACACATGCGGAATTGATTAGAAATAATGCGCCTATTTATCATTCAAGCTTAGGCTATCAATGCACGTAATTATGCTGTAAAACATTTTCGTTGCAGCACACCAACGTCACAGACAGTTTAGAAACAAAATTTAGAATTTGGAGAACATTTTTTAAATTCTTCGTAGAAAAGGCAATTTTGGCAAGACCCATACGTAGTGCTACTACTACATAAGAAACTCTATATTAACACGTTGAGCCAGGCGTAGTTCCCTGTGGACCGGCAGTGAAATTTCCATGTGGCCGGAGTCTTTCGTTTGGCCGATGTCGGTCCATGGGGACCGGCACTGGAATTTTCGTTTGGCTGGCATCGGTTCGCGGGACCGGCAATATTAACATTCGCGACCACGAGCTTTGTCACCAGGCAGGGCTTGTATATCGTTAGCGGACAAAGCTCACCAACAGATAAGCTCTACTCAGTGCATGAAATCGCGGATCATCCTGCAACATTGCACCGCTTGATCGCTCTCGCCGGCTGAACGGTGTTTGGTGTATTTAACTATGGCAAAGCACACTAGGGCTATCTGTTTAAGAGAGGGATGCCTTCGTGGAGGACTTTCTAAGGGAAACTAACTCGTATACACGTTACACATGGGGAAAACCACGAAAACGCCCCTGCAGCCAGCCCGTTCGCGGGATTCGAACCTCGGACCGAACTACCAGTGTTCGACTTTACCGCTCGGCCGCTGGTGGGCCGCCGGCTGAACGAAAAGGACTGCAAATTTGGCGCAGAGCTCAAAGTGTTAAATATGTCTTTACAGGAGTTTGAATTCAACTTCTGTATAACACTAGATATGAACCCCTGGCTTATGCTGTGTTTGGTTTATTTTATTATGGCAAAGTACAGGAGGACTATCTGCCTGAGAGGGGTGCCTTTATGGAGGATTTTCTAAGGGAAAGAGGCTCACATACAAGTTACACATGGATAAATCCACGAAAAAGCCCATGTAGCTACCCCGTTCGCCAGGACTCGAACTAACAATTTTAAGCGATTTTACCGCTCGGTCGCTGGTGCGCACTGTATAACACTAGTAGCATGGAATTATATTAAACTTGTACCGAATTTCCACCTTTCATGTATTCGTCATGACTAATAGAGTGAATAATGTGCAATAATGTTATTGATCAATAAAGGACTTAACTTTGAAATATGTATGAAGGCAAGAAAATGCGTCCATTTTCCTCTTCACTCGCTTATAAATATCATTAAATAAGAACTTTACAGGCTTCTATCCCTCACCATGATTTAGAATTATGTAAAGCAATTGTGCTCCATATTGGAACACATACAAGCTATTATAGCCCTATATATAAGAAAGTTTGCTCTACTGTATTGTATGTACTAAGGGGGATGTACTTATATATACATAGACAATTAGGCACTCGTGGATTAATAATTTGGGTTATGGCAAAGCCAAGTGGGCTGTCTGCCTAAGGAAATAAATACCTTCGTATCGATCTTTAAGGAAAACTGGCTCGTATTTAAATTACACATGGGAAAAACCACAAGAGTCCCGTGCAGCCAGTCCGTTCTCCTGGAGTAGAGAACGTGTCAAACTACAAGTGCTCAGCAGTTTTACCGCATTACAGTTAGTTGGCCGATATGCACGTATGTTGGTTGCTAGCATTAGGATCGGTTTGTCTCGCAAGTGTTATCTTAGATATACAAGTTTTAAAAAACGTTGGCTAGTATGTTTTATTTCTTTAACTTCTGACATTATTTCCAGTTGCAAAGTTTCTCAGAATAAAGCAGATAACTTATGAAATTAGGCTGTGGGTGGGCTTTTATTATAAAATCTAACATTAATAAGGTTCTGCAGAGCTAGCATTCCAACCACTAGTCTTAAGTTAAATACAAAATGTTTTATACCTTTGCAAGTAAAATTCCAAGAAATATTCATAAATTAATACAGTGTCTTAAGCTCCTTTTCAGAGTATTATGTTCTGAAGTTTTATATTAAACCAAATTTAGGGAAAGAAATTCAAAACAAAAATCATTCTGCCTGTGAAGAAAGCACCACAAACAGCATCAGAAGAACTGTAGATGAGTGTGGCGCAGTAATATACGAATAAGACTTGCATTTGTATCACCTCCGTCTTGCACATCATCTTGAAAAACAATGTTCTATCAAGAATCCGGTTAATTCCAATGAATGATCGACTTCACGCAAGTTTTATCGATGAAATAATTAACAGAAACAGAATTTTCCCAGCTGTTTCCCCAGTAGCAGGATGAGTCATTTAATGACTTAAGTTACAGCGTAGCTTTCCGG